TATATATATATATATATATATATATATATATATATATATCCCCTTTTATTATAGGGCAGGTTATAGCAGTCAAGAGGATTCCAGTGATAACATTATAACCATAATAAAAGGTAATAGTTAATTTAGCCAAAAGATTTCAGGTTCATATTCTAAGGGTGACCCTTGTGCTGTCTTCTGGAATGTGATGCCTGACTTGAACTGCTTCAGGAAAAACCGATCTGGGTAGTTGTGGATCAAAGTGCCAGATTAACAGCCTCAGTAACACAATGGAGGTTGATATTGTCGGCTGCACTTCAGTTTGTACAAATTACCGTGTCCTCTGAAATTTCCCACCTGTGGTTCTTGTTGTGGGTTGGTCATAAGGTACACTGCTGCCGTGCAGCGATGACTCAGTCCGCTGCCATGAGGCCACACTTCCCAGAGGACACCCAGGAGGAGAGGGACAGAGGCCAGGAGGCATCCCAGAATCTTCTGCAGGAAGCCTGCGGCTGGGAGCGATGGTGGATGAGGAGGTGGAGGGCAGCCTTCAGAGCTGGCTTCTTCCTTTGGCTCTGTGTCTTATCCCAGATCACCGTAAGGAATACCAAACCAACCGGTTTGGATTAGAAAAAACTCCTGCATGACCATAACAAGACCAGAATACCATTCCTCATCTCTATGCTGGGCTGGCATCCTCATGGAAATGGGGAAATTTTATGAAAATGATTGTTCTGTTATCTATTTCAATCAGAAAATCTTATTCAAGATTGATTTCTAACATTTACATGATTTAACACTTCCATTTACATTTAGTGCTTATCACTTTGCATATGTTAGATGTTCCTCTTAGCATGTGGGAGTTTTACTTACACAAAAATGTTTAGAGGTCATGAAGAAAAATGATTGGTTCAGAGAGGTAACCAGTCAGATTGTAGAGGATGTGACATTGGATTGGTTGGTCCCACCTCCTTTAGTTGTTTGGACGCTCCTCCTCTAGAATCTGATTGGGTATCTCTTTGAACCAATCATTTTCTTTCTGCCCTCAGAACATTTTTGTTTAAGTAAAACTCCCATGAGCTTCCTCCTGGCATTAGTGTTCCTTTAACCCGCCATTAGACACGAGTTATCAATATTTTCTTGGCACCCTGAATAGGGAGTCTGGATCCTGTATATGATGAATGGATACAACGCTTTCCCTGCTGCGCACAAGGTCCTTGACCTCATGCAGTACCTGCTATCATCACTGGGGGCATACAGCTCAACGGAAGAAGAGGTACAGAAACTGTCCTGGTTGTGATATCAGTGCTTAGCATTGTAACCCAACATACAACACGTGTGTGACAAAATGTTCAGCATCTGAGCAGCTTTTCATTTACCACCTCAACAGAGAACAATGTATCGCCATGCACGGACACGGCCATTTTACTGTTCTTTCCCTCCTTCTGTTTAGATGTCCCATTCCCTGTGGATGGACCTCTGGAGGATAGAGAGCATATGCCCCCTGCTGGCTACCCTGTTCCTTGGCATTGCCATCTTGGGCATTGGGGTGGGTGAGAAAAATCATGCATAAGATCAGAAATGGCAAAGTCGACCAAGAAGACATCAAATCCATAGTTGGAATTATAACTACCCATTTTATAGATTTCATACCATACGTTTGTATTAATGTACTCATTTTGGTTGCTTATCAGGTAATGTGAACTGAATATGATTACAATTTAAACAGCATTTGTAACTTTTTGTATTAATAGTTCGATCAAAAGGATACATGTGGGACTTGACCTAAAAACCTTCTGAATACTCTTCCTCCGCAGATCCACTACTGTCTGAAAGCCCTGTTCCCTGGCAGCCTCCCCACTGTCCCCAACAGCCGGCGCCAGTCCATGAGCCGTCAGCCCTCCTTCACTTACTCCGAGTGGACCGACACTAAGCAGGAAGACCTCTTCGACCTGGACCCTGTCCCTGAGACGCCAATATTTGAATCCTTCATGGACATAAAGGCAGAGACTGACCCAGGCACCCTCACAGTGAAGCCAGTGGGGCTGCAGGAGAGGTGAAGCACCAGTTTTGACTGCATATACACTGTAACACCATATCAATCGCAGGTCAGATACTTCTGTCCAAAGCAGCTTACATAGCTTACAGCTTTACATTTTAATATCAGATATTTTCAGCAGCGCAAATTGAGTTGATTGTGTTCCTTAGGGTGCAATAGCTTTCTCTCATAGCCTTGTAACGTTGTGTTATTTTAGTGAAGGTTTACATGTTTTAAGCAGGATGATCAGGTGAAATATTTGCCCTGCTCACTGTCTAATACTAAGGCTGAACGTTGTCTTCTGTTAGGAGGGGCTCCAACGTATCTCTGACCCTGGACATGTGCACTCCAGGCTGCACTGAGCCCTACGGGGCACTCCTGTCGCCGGGGGAGCAGTCCGCGCGAGAATATCTCCAAAAGGCCTCTAATGTTCTCACTGCCAGCCAGCTGCACAGCCGTGCCCTGGACGACGCTGCCCTACAGGCCGAGTTCTTTGTGAGTTTTCTGCTCAGATTCGCAACTTTGTACAGCCGGTACTGACCACCCCCGTGCCAGACAAGGCTACACCAGGGCGATGCCGGGGGACAGAAAAGCATGAGCAATGTAATCGCTGCAAACTCAGCTTGCCTGCCACTTGCAGGAGACTCCCATGAACTTTGTGGATCCCAAGGAATACAGCTACCCAGGAATTGTGAGAAAGAACCGTTACAAAACCATCCTCCCAAGTGAGTGTTATTGTCCTGTTAGACCTGGATAGACATGAATGAAGGAGGTAAAATGCTTGCCTATATGATCCTGTTTGAGCGACATGTGCTATGTTTCAGATAAGCACAGCAGAGTTTGCCTTAAAGCCACAGAAGAAGATGACTTCCTCAGCACCTACATCAACGCTAATTATCTGAAAGTGGGTATTTTTCTAACTTTGAGTTCTCTCTGCTTCATTTATGTTTATCAGTGCAGTCCAGTATAGTCACTGCATTTGCATTGGGGCAGTATGCAACTGCACAGACCCCTGGAGGGCCCGACTGGCTCGTGTGGGAGGCCCCGGTGGAGGTCTGATGAATGAATCGCTGTGTGCAGGGTTATGGAGGGGAGGAGAGGACCTACGTCGCCACCCAGGGCCCCACAGTGAACACCGTCAGTGACTTCTGGAAGATGGTTTGGCAGGAGCACTCGCCCATCATCGTTATGATCACCAACGTTGAGGAGAAGAATGAGGTGGGTCCCTAGGCATTGTCAGTATTAATGAGAGGCAGAAGAACAGCATTGATTTGTGTTGCACAGGACCAGGGCTAGTCAAACTCTGTCATACATACACCGTATTGTTTTAACCATCTTGGATGGACAATGGAGTGTTTCTCAATACCAAGAATGCAAAGACCGTACTGTGGTCTTGGCTAGAGTGGTCTTGCTAACTTGCTTCCCAAGAACGAACTTGGGATGCAATGAATCATGGGATTGTTCACATTTGGAGAGGATGCAACCGATGTATCCCTGATATTTGGGGTGAGGCAAGAAAGACATCTGGGGATTTTTGCTATCCTCTCTACTTGTGTTCTCAGTATCGGAACTGGTCTTTGGCAATGGAAGATGACATAAAACGGGTTTGTGAGAACACAAGCACGGTCAGGTCTGCATATTGAGGAACAGCCTAAGAGTGTCCTCTCACTATCAGCTTTAGCACCATTCATTTTTAAGGCTCATCCACCCACCTTCCATTCATCTTTTCTGGTGGGGGTCATGGGGCCATAAACTTTCTATAAATCCTAAATTCTATAAAGAATCTATACAATCAATCAACAGAGAAACTTGATTACATGTTACCATGTTATTAATTTCAGCATATGTCAGTATTCATTAATGTATTATCATAGCATATCACGTCAACAACATAGTTCAATCAATTTAGGTACATTATCTAATGAATTTATTCAATAAGTTTCATACCCTTTTTGTGTCTCAATACCTTTTCGTTTTGCTACCACCGGATTTGTCATCAACGTAACATGTCTGTTCAGAAATGTACAGAATACTGGCCAGAGGACAGTGTGACCTACGAAGGGATTGAAATCACCGTCACTCAGGTGATACAGGCCAACGATTACAGACTGAGGATCTTCTCCCTTAAGGTGGGCACAATATCTATTAGCAAAGAGCAAGACGGGGCAGCTTGTGCTAGCAGAGAAAAGATACATGCAGACAATCCAGAACTCTCTCACTCTTTCACTGTGGTTGCCTTGGTGTCATGGTAACCAAAGCCCTAGGCAACACAGCTACAGATGTAAATGAAGAAACCGTTATCGATCCAAATAACCATACACCTCACTAGCAGTTTTTCCACACTAGCACTGTCTCCCCGTGCTTCACCTCTACGTCTGTATTTTATTTTGAACACCTGCCCAGATCTTGTGCTGCATATCTGCGCTTCACTCACACGTGCATGAATGCATGCTTGCGACTGTCTGTTGCGCAGTGCAATGACGAGGTGCGCAGTCTCAGGCACTACTGGTATACGTCTTGGCCCGACCAGAAGACTCCAGACAAGGCCCCGCCACTGCTGGAGCTGGTGGAGAAAGTGGAGAAGGCGCGGCAACAGGCCCCCCCCGACAGCGGCCCCATCATCGTCCACTGCAGGTTCTTCTCAATTCCATTTTTGCAGTCCATGCAAGACATTTTACTTCTAAACATCCACTTACCGCATGGAAAGCAACTTATATATGAAAGTGTTGCCAGGGAGCACTGAAAGACAATAACCTGTGCAAACAGGCAACAATAGGAGCACCTGAACTGAAATATGCCTCCAAGATAATGTTGTCATAGCTATATAAACACCCCCGCTAACATCAGACTGAAGCAATATTGAAAAAAACTGCAGCACGAAGCCCTAAGTGACCTTCCGTTCCCATTGTCCGCAAGGCAGGCACAAGCTACGATGTGGGGGTGTGTTTGAATGGGAGTTTGTGGGTGGGAGCAATGTCCATCGCCATCGGTCCCGTGGTCCGTGCCGTGAGGGCAGACACACCTGCGGGGCTCTCCGAGTGCATCTCAGCTGGTGGGCCGAAGCCCCCTTTGACCTCCCTCTCCCCCACCACCAGAAGGCTGTGCTTTAATTGCACAAGTAGAATGTCTCAGTTGACTATCTCCACCTACTCAAGTCCGCCAGCTGCCCTCATACTTTGTTTGCTGTGGACGTAAACCATCTAATATTTAGGCTGCCTAATTCTTGCAAACCTTTCATGTACTCCAGATACTTAATCCATAATTTATAATCTAACACTAACCAACAGGGTGGTGTGGTGGTGCAGTGGTTAGTACTCTTGCCTCTTCCCACTGGGACTTGGGTTCAAGTCTCTGCCAGAGTTCCATGCGTGTGCAGTTTGCATGTTCTCCCTGTGTTGTCATGGCGTTTCCTCCTGGTACTCCAGTTTCCACCCACATTCCAAAACATGCTGATGCTAATTGGAGTTGGTACAGTAAATTGCCTGTAGGTGGGAATGGTGAGTGTCAGTGCACCCTGCACCTCCTCCTGAGTTCCCTTGTGCACAGAGCTTCCAGCATAGGCTCCCAAGACCTTGAGTAGGGCACACAGTTACAGAAAGTAGATGGAAGATTAGTTGTTAACTTTAAATAGTCCGGTTTGGTACAATTTGGTAATCTCTTTGTCTAATTTTCAAAATCTCTAAATTCAAGGGAATCAGAATTTTATAAAATATAATCATGGATTGACATAACTGGTACGCAAGCACCTTTAAAAACGATACGTGCAGCAATTGATTAATGTAACAGCGCAAATACGTACGTATTTTATGTGCATTTGCGCCGATATGGCAAGAAATTACTGTGCATTTTAACCTCTATACCGCAAATGAAGTACGAATTAGCATATAAAGGATAAAATGCACAAGAATTTCTTGCCAAATGCACATAAAATACGTACGCATTCACGATTGCAGCACGTATCGTTTTTGAAGGTGAATGCGTACTTGCGTGCCAGTTATGTCAATCCTTGAATATAATGTATAAGTACAAAAGCAACTCTAGTTGGTACAGAGACCATGCTACATAAAGTTACTTAAGGTACATAAGCTGTGAAATTTCAGATGATTCAAAATATTCAAGCAGATTCTAAATAACATAAAGAATAATTACGGTACCTATTATGAAGAAGTTACTGGATATGATGATAATCACCACCAACTTATGGGTGAAAAATATGTAACCATATTATTTGAAATAATGAAACTCACTCGCTGCAATTTTTCATTAACAGTATGTCCTCTACTCTTTCAATTTATCCTTAATACTAATGAGAAGGTGAAAATGATTAAAGTGACTATAGACAACACAAAGATTATGGTGAAGAATTATCCCAAACATTATTCAGTAAATTTACTGTTTGTCAGTAAAGACAGCAATTTGAAATAGGTAACATCACCCATTTTCCAAACCACTTATCCTTTTTTGGGTTGCAGGGGTCCAGAACCTATCCTGGAAGCTATGGGCACAAGGTGGGGAACAACCTAGGATGGGGGATACCATCACAGGGCCACTCACACACCATTCACTCACACAGGCACACCTATGGGCTATTTAATTACTCCAATTAGCCTCAGCATGTCTTTGGACTGTGGGGAGAAACCAGAGTACCCAGAGGAAACCCCACAATGACAATATGCAAACTCCACACACATGTGACCCAGGCAGAGACTCAAACCAGGGTCCCAGAGGTGCAAGGTAACAGTGCTAACCACTGCACCACCATGCCGCCCCGAGGTAACATCACTTGTTGTCTTTTTGACAATGTGGCTGATCTTCTCCCATCGACCTTCATCCATATAGGAGGAGTCATATTCTTCAGTAGTTTATTGTCTAGATCATCTTACAATTGTGTCCACAGCGCAGGAATCGGTCGTACTGGATGCTTCATCGCCACCACCATCCTCTGCAAGCAACTGCTGAATGAAGGGATGGTGGACATTCTGAAGACCACTTGTCAGCTTCGCTTGGATAGGTGAGACATCCAGTGGGGTTGGTGAGACCTTCAACATATTCCTACTTCCATGGCCCTGCTGTGTCTAAAATCACCATGTGTTTTGCTTTCAGGGGAGGCATGATCCAGACACCTGAGCAGTATCAGTTCGTGCACCATGTTCTCAGTCTCTATGAGAGACAATTGTTCTGTTCTGCTGAGGAATAGGCAGCTAATATCATCTTCCCCAAAGACAAACCCCAAAACTTAAAGGAGGAATATCTGCTTTATTAACAAAAGACAAGACTCACCTTACAAGGATTCTCCTCTTCCAGCCTCTCAGCTCATTTGAACTCAGTGATTCACGAGTCTGGATATCTTCCTGTCCGTCTGTGCTCTGTCTGTACAGCATCAGGGCATGTCCATTGTGAAGGTGTTCTCGCTGCAGAATTAGTCAGTCAGTAATTACCAACTGTGAGTTTGAGTAATTGTGCCACTTCTCATTCAAGCACATTGAGTCTGCAGGGTCAGTTCCTGGCATTGAGTCTGAGTCACATTTTAACCCTGTGCTTCAGCTGTCAATGAAGAAATTCTTCACCAGTCTGTATGGCTGCAGTCCCATTTGTGGTCCATAATGTTCACCAATGTACTGGATCCTGATGCTTTATATGAGACTGTAAAGACAAAATGGGTGAGTATTTCTCTTCACCTGACTTTTTCCATAACTTTCAGTTGAACTGTTTGCTGAAAATGACCAGAAGTAAATTTTATTGATTTTAATGATTTCTACAGAGACTTGGAACTAGAATACTTTAAAGCTTTACCATAGTCTGGATTGAAGAATTGACAGGGGAGAGACGCCCTGACCTGCTGTTGCAGCAGTGAACTCACAGCACCACAAACATGGTCATTAAGGCAAACTACGATTACAAACACATCTATATTCATCTAGTTCTGAAGATCATCAGAATGCGCCACCAAGTTGATGGGAGGAAGTACTTCTCAGAACAATCATCTCTGAGACTCAGTGCCTAGGGTCTCAGCTGGAGATGAGATCCTCCTTATGGAAAGTCCTCATGGCCCAAATTTCAGGTCAAAATAGCTTCTGCAACCGGCAGCCCTGGAAAAAAAACCTCTCAACTGAATATGTGCATCATGTTTCATTATCTACTGTCAGAAATTCTTATTTGATGGAATACGAAGGGTTGACGTTCACATAACACAAGGCATGAATTTTGATTGGTCTAGACTTTGAGCTCTATAATAATTAGTTATAAGGGCGGCACGCTATCCTCACCCCTCCGGGCCTGGGTGTTCAAATATCGCCCTTAGCACTGTGTGCTTGGAGTTTGCATCTTCTTTCTGTAATTGCATAGGATTACTCTAAAATCATTTGCTTATGCAAACTGGTTCCAAGAAATTGGCCATAGTGTAAGTAAATATGCCTTGTGTTGGACTTGCAGCCTGTCCAGGTTGCACGCTGCATAACATAAGCCTCAGGCTCCGGTAATCTAGCACCACATAAGAAGTATGGATGGACAGGATAATATGGGAAGCCCTATAGGGGGGATGCAAATCCATACGAGCTTCCCTGCAAATGACCTACTGTATGTCATGGCGATCTTGGAAGGTCTCACTAAAGCCAGCTTTGTAGTTTTGCTCAGGAAGCACAGGGTAGTGATCCTCAGAGCCTCATTAAGTTGCTTTGGCCTCTTGGTGATGCGATTAGGCATCTGTATAGGAGATGAGCGCTTCGGTGTCACCATGACTACCTCCCAGCAAAAGAACTGCAATAGAAAAGTAAGACATAGCTACAATCGGAATAGAGAACAATGTGGAATATTTTTTTTATGTTCTTGCCAATACACATTGTCAGTACTACCAATAATGCAATTAACGAATATGTTATTGCTATTGATTTCAGATTGAATTAAACAATGATGAATGATGCCAGTTCCGATGCAGACACTGAGTTGCCGTGGTTTATGTGAGATATCCCTTACCTTGTCCAGTATAGAGATCAGGCAGCTAGGTGGCCCTGAAGGCAGTTCCTCAAGCACACATATTTTATACACGACGGCCTTAATCTGTGTGAATCTCTCCATTGCACCTGACAGGGGTGGTGGATTTGGAAGATTGTACCGTTGGTCAAGGTCCATTCAAATGTCTCTTCCTGATTTCCAGTCAATCTGAAAGTAGAAGGAGCAAAAGCTTGAGGTGGTCATTTTGGGCCAACATTTCCCAGGGAACAATAAAGGAGGGTGTTACTGATAATGTTTCTGTCATCTGGTAGCGCCTACAAGCACTCAAGTGAGTAGACGCCATTGGATTCTTCAGACCAGACAAGGCAAGTTCTCTTTAAGGACTAAAACTGTACTTGTGTCTGCATATATCGATGCTGTTTCCCACTGTTTTTTTCCACTGGGTTTTTGAAAACCCAATATGCTGCATTTCAAGTTTTTTTTTTTTTTTAGGAATCAAAATACCGGCACACTGTATATTACTCTGCTTTCATTCATACTGTCATCTCACACTGTTAACTACTGCTGCGGGGGGAGGTCCTATTTCTGGTTCTTATGGTTTTTTTGACTTCACAGTCATTGATTACAAGATTGTTGTTCACACGGCTCTTTGGAACTTTGTACAGGAAGTATCAGTCACATACGTCACCAAAGAACTACCATATTTACTGCCCATCTATGGATCTAACTGACGTAGTAACCATTGATACAGAGACAGCAAATTAAATTAAAACCTGGTGCTTAAAATCCTGCTGTGGATGTGTGTTGAGGCTAGGATCTTGCTGCATATCTGTCTTCAGTATAATTTCCATGTGAATCTCTGATTGGTTACTCATACGTTATTAGCAACGTGAGTTAAATGACCTCTTTCAACATTAGAATTTGATGCAAATTCCACAAACACAAAAGTAGGACTGTCACTTACATAGCTGGAGTAATCCAGAACTCCCTATTGACATACCAAATTTGTTATTAATTATTATTATTATTATTATTATTATTAATAATAATAATTTGTTCATAGTGTGTCAGTATAATATACATAATGGACTTCATACTAATACAAAAACGCTGATTTTGAGATAAGTGATAATACGATGGATTTCTAATGGTTGAGTGGTGACTGGTCTCTGCGTGGCATTGGATGCTGCTTTGGGTAAGCTGTAGTCCCCCTGTAACCCAGACCAAGATGAGTTGGTATAAAATGGATGGATGGATGGATGGATGAATGATTGAGAAGCTTCATCTATAGATAGATAAGCATTTAATCAATTCCCTGCAGAAAGGATGCACAAGAACTGAATATCAGGGCCCAGAAATATTATGTTTCAATTGAAGGAATGGAAATTGTGGACAAAGTGAACTGATAATCCTAGCACTCTGTAGGGACAACGAGACATCAGGTGCTATGATATAATTGAGATGTTTCCATTAGTTGGTCAAGTCATTCCCAAAACTTCCCAAAGCTTCACTCCCTCACCCACCACCCCTCAATATCCTCCTCACCACACTATCTGGTTCATCCCCACCGTCCAGTCAGCATCACTCAGTTGTTCTTTATGTTCCATCCCATCTTCTTCCTGACTTAGTATATTCCTCACTGGTGCATAAAGCTTTAAAGACACCCATTAACTAGCATTTACTAGAGTGAAATCCACCCCACCCCCCCAACTCATATCCATAAAATCTATATCAATTTTTCTCTAAAGTTCAGCTGATTACTCAGGTGTACAAACAATGTACACGGTATTCAAAGTTTAAATATACATCTGTCTGTTGATTTGAATGGAAAATGGAATAGGTAGAACTGTTATATACACAAGATTATGTTTGTGTAAAGACAATTGCTCTTTTTCTTTATTGTTATCATACAAATATTTCAAAATAGTAAACAGAGAATCACCTGTGATGTTTCAAAGTAAGATATTTGATTCCATATGTCGTATTATATGGAAATGCACCAAAAACACTGTCAGATATTGAGTAAATGCATAATGAAGTGTTTTTTTTTTTGTAGTGACATTGGTATGTCAAAAATAAATCCGAAAATAAAATATTTATGTAGCTAGTTTCCTTATGTAGTGTTATTTGCAAATATAGTACAAAATGAAGAGATGAAGAATTTGGTGTAATACAATACGATAGATAGAACTTCAGCGCAGACGTTTGGTTAATTGTTACTTAAGTTGTTCATTATTTCTATAATAACGTTTTGAATATCACTGTACAGATTTTAATAAAATGCATGCATAGACTTTAGACTTGTCCACAATAAAAGGAAGATATAGATCGTCTGGCTTTTTGGTACCACTGTGTAACACAATGCTTATTCTTGTAATAATTTATTTTATCGCAGATGTTTTTCAATTTTATCAATCCATGTTTTCATTATGTGAAGATCGACATGGAATGTAACTCAGAACTGCTGTCTCCTGGCTTCTCGGTCTGCCCTCAGCTGAAACGTACATAATTACCATGTGTATCCACTCCATAATGGCAGCATTACGTATTATTTAGGTGGATATGTCTGAGTCATTGTCAGAGACGCTTTGTTTATAAATCTGTTTTATACGTTGCACATTCAAGCTTACCTCAATCTGACGATCTTTAAGGACTTTTTTTTACATCACCATGGTAACAGAGGGAAGAATGCTGCAGACGAATGGTGCTGTTTTGATGGGCTTTGAAATGCCCTGTTTTGTTCACTAAAGCTCCCTAATCACATCTCTGTGTCACATCTTAGTTTTAAATTATTAGCATACTTCAGATCCCAAGAACAGCAGAAAGAGTACAACGACGTTGAGCTCAATTTTTATGTTTACCTCTCTGTCAGATGTAATTGGCCTTTTTGTGAATGAGGTATAAATATTTGATTTACTATCGAGTCCTTTGCCCCACACCCCCTGCAGTAGCTAGATTGAACCGAAAATGCTCAGTGAAACGGCTGCCATGCCGATGAACAATCGGCATGAGGAATTCTTAATCGCGATTTATCGGAATTCTTAATCGCGATTTATCGGAATTCTTAATCGCGATTTATTGGAATTCTTTTCATTCTGCTGTGGCAACAAGCTACATACCTTATTAATTCACATAGGCAGAAAACGAACTATGACAGTTTTATTTGCAATATGTTGTATCTATCCATTTTAAAGATTTAATGAGGTTGTTTTTAGTTTTCTTATGTGATAATAATTTGCTGACCAACAATATTAAAGCTCATTGATACGGAGTCAAATGCACAAATCGTCACTGCTGTGTAAATCACGTAATTAGGTCCATTACTTTCACATCCACCGCCAACTGCATTTTAATAATAACTCACAGTTTGATTGTAATGTGCTGCTATTGTGTGCCTTCATTGAATATTTTTGTTAATTCTGAATAAAAGTTGTTGATAAAAATGTTAAACGTGACTATCATTAAACATGATAATGTTTTATTATAATTGCATTATAATAAAGTGCATTATGCTCCAATGTGCATTACAATAAAGTGTTATAATAAAATAAAAATTTTTATTCATCTTTGTTTTCTAATCATTTATAGACCTGGTTCATGTAACCCCAGCTAAGCTTGTGAATTATGTGAAAGAAAACAACCAATATATTACATTATAACAAAACGTTTACAGTTATCACATAGTCTCAAATAATTCAAAAAGTTAGTTCAAATAAACCATGCTATTACTGTACAGATTGATTTACTGTGCATTGAAAAATGATCCAATGTGACAAAGCATTTAAGCAACGGTTCCACCTAGTGTTGAGTCCGAAAATCATCAAAATAGATTACAGATGTAAACGAACTCACAGCTCTAATCGGGGTTGTCGGAGGGGCATGCATACCCTGATAGATTCAGGGGGGGGGGGGGGGTTCAGCACTCCACATGAGCCCTGCAATACGTAAAATTATAAAATTATATACTGTAAGGGGGGCGGGAAAGGTGACATTTTGTGAAGGGGCCCAGAATGTCTAGCTGCTCCCTCGTTATAATACGCAATAGTTTCAAAGCAGAATAAAGTGAATTGTAAAGTTCAGTCGAGAAATACATCAACTACGCTGATCCTTTTCCTGGCCCTCCTTTTTAAAGATGTGTTTGAATTGTTCAAACTGTATGTACTGAAACTGATATACGAGTTCCTGTTAAAAATAATTATATACGTGAAACTGCGTGAGATACATGCAGTAATTGACATAATTCGACAGTGGAAGAAAATATTTCGAGTCAAGCATTTAAATAAAGAAGTGCAGTTTTTACATCATCCGCAAGATGGCAACATATACGAAATTATTCAATGGACTGTGCTCGCCGCAGTTCTACAGCAGCGCTGTCATTGATATATAGCATTTAGTACGCATTTAGATTAATTTTCGATTCAAGTGCAGCCACCACAGATACCTTTACAAATATTAAGCAGGCAACGATGGCGAGGTGAAAACTGTATATCCTGTGATGCGCTATATATTTTTTTTCTGGTTGTTGTTGTCCAGTTTCTGATATTTTAATCTTCTTTGTTCACATCCCTCCGTTTCATCCCCGTTCTTTTTAAGGGTAATAGTTTTTGCTCATAAAATTGTGTCATGTAATGCTAACTGACTTTGGGCATTAACTGGAAGATGATTATATCTACAGTATTTCATCTTGCAACGCAATTCAATACATGGACATTCGCTTAAATTGAAATCAGTTTTTGTTTAAACCTATATACCGCTTCTGACAAAGACCATTATCAGAAAGTTCACTGTATCCTGGACTTGAGGTCCTCGAAGAGTAAGCCTGCAATGGCTATGGCAAAGAAGAAGACCTTCCGACGAACCAGACCCAAGGGGGAAGCCCGTCTTCCTCTGGTCAGCACTGGCCAGTGCACCTTCACACAATGCAGGCAGATGGTGGGACAGCACCGGGGGAGGTAGTCATGCAGGATAGGAGCAGACTAGGGGCTAGAGGGGGGGGGACTCCCTTGTATCTCGACTTCCGACCAGCTTACCGCAGAAGCCGCGGCAGGACTAGTTAAGGCAGCGTAAGTAGCGGGCAGAGGCATGCGGCATAAGGAATCCCTGCTCTGTTCATACAAAAAAGCGTGCTGTGCCATATCAACCTTTTAAATCCACCAGCGTTACGGATTGACGGTCGTCTTTAATCGCAATCATTTTAGGATTTCTAGCCCCCACAGTCCCGTTCGTCGATCTGAATACGGTTTTAACATAAGAATTAAAATGTGCACCTGGAGAGTAACGGGTAAGATTATAAACATAAATTAAAATATTATATAAAAAGAATAATAATTGTAGTAATTATTCTAAAGTAATTTCGCATCTCATGCTATAGATTAGTGGTTTTTCAGCGAGAGGACCTTTTAATGAACCTGACCTAATAATTATTAGCAGACATTGTAGGCTGCACGTGAGCATTTCGACTGCAAATGAGCTCCTTGTCTTGCGCTAAAATCAGATTCCATTTACATCTCTCTCTCTCTCTCTCTCTCTCTCTCTCTCTCTCACACACACACACACACATACACGCGCACTACTCACTCTCCGCGATGGTCTTGTGTCTCTTTAATCCAGCGGCTCAGGACGGTGACGTCACCGTATCCCTTCGCTGCCAGCTCCCATTGGTTGAAAATGACGTCAGCCTGTTTTTTTCTAAAGTATGACCTCATGCTTAACTCGTTTTTTTTAAGTGCTAAAGTGCATCTTCTGTTTTCCTGGATCACGAATTCAATGCAACGGTAGATTGCTTATCTCTAAACTGTACTATAATCCGAGTTCCAAACACAAGGAAAATGACTGCCACTGCTGTTGCTGTGCGTGTGTTATGAATGCGTTTCTAAAACAGTAATTCATTATAATAACAGTAGTGCTTCTCAGTAGTTCCGTATGTTCCCAACAGTTTACTATGTCATATAAACAACACTAAATTCTCCTTTGGGAGTGCTCAATGACACGTGAAGGCGATCTCAGTGCCGTCCGGAGAAGCTTGGAGAACAGGTGAGTGAATATGGCATTTCGCCTGCTTTTTACAAAGCTCCCGTGCTTTTTAAATTCCCCTTGCCAGCTGCAGATGATGCGCCTACACTTAGAGGAGTTTTGCTGCAGCTTGTGGCGTGGCCGTCAAATAGGAACCACTGGGGAATCCGGAGCTGACTTTATCGGTGTCATGTTCTGTACCGAATTATGTGCATTGTGAATTATTAATTTGTATACGTCCATGTACGTGTTCTGGCCCGTGAAGTCTTACGTAATTTCTCAGTTCGTGAAGACTGACGGTAGGTAGACCTTGCGATTCATTTATTTGCGCTTATTTCTTCTGAATTACGGACTTAACCCTGACTTCCTTGGTCACTTGATATCGTGCAGGGAAATTAGATTGACTGGTAGCGCAAGTAGTTAAAAGTGCTTTGATATACGAAGTCGACCTAGTCGCATGAAAAGTTTACAAAATCCTTTAAAAGTACTTGGCTGAAACACCGTCCTTTCTATCATCGTTGTAACCTAATGCAGTTTAGTTAAGTGAAAAAAGATCTAAACGGAAGGCTAAATATATTTTAAGGACAACCGCTTCGATGCTGGTTCACCTATTTCGGTGGGGTTATTGACAGTAGGTGTCATATTGTTTCTTTCTGGTAATGTTCTTCTGCAATATCATCTGAAGTAGAGCAATGTCCAAAAAAAAAAAAACCCATTACAAATTTTATTTGGAATGACTAGAAAAGGTGTCTTTTGTTGTTGTTTTTTTAACAGTTTCAGATTGTGTACATTTGACTGCTTTTACAGGCAGTGGAAATGTCATCTTAAAACTTAGATTACGTGAACTGGACCTGTTATATACCTGCTACGTGTGAGTTCAGTTTTATTTCAAAACTTTGAGTTCTGCTGGGGAAATAATTACAGTTGAAAATCTGCTGTAATTAAGTCATATATGAATGTACTGAATTACTATGGCTAAATAACGGTGCCTGTGTTGTGCTGCCTCACATGGGCTGATGCTCATTCTTTCTAATATTGTGTGATGTGCTTCATTAGTGGCAGGTGCATCGCATGTAATTTCAGTTGTGTTCTGCACGGCCTTACGTCATGAAGGCTGAGTCGGGTGCCCCTCCTTAGAGAATGGACTCTCCCTGTCAGAGACGTGCTGCAAAGCTGGGTGCCGATCCAGTCTTGCTGTCAGCAGATTTTAAGAGGCAATTTAGCTGACAGTTCACTCAAACTGACGGCGGTGCGCCTTCATCTGAGCTCTTTCCCCATGCGCCTGTTCCCTCTTTTCCCAGACTGTTGGCTTTCCAGAAATGTAGCCACGTTGCACTACCATATTGGACCTTGTTATTGTTATTTAGGTACTGCTTTTCTGGGCAGGGGGGTGGTCCACAAAGTAGAATTTCTCAGATATCTAGGTTAACTTAAGCTAGAAGTTATGATTGTCCAATAGGAATGCTCCTTACTTAAAATTCAATTCAGTTCAATTCAGGTCAGTTTAGTTCAATTCAACTTTATTTGTCCCAAGAGGGGCAATTCACGTCGCACATGCAAGCAATAAAAATGCACAAAATTTTCATAAACGCACACATTAAAATACTAACAATCAAAAACAATCTGCTGACAATATAATGACAATCTAAAAAAAACTCCTATTGGACAATCATTGTAGCTCAGTTTAGTCCGACAGCTAGATCGGATGGTACCTGGGTACCTTCAGGTGTGTAGTGTGTTGTGTGTGTCATGTTTGGGGAGCTGAAAGAGTCGTATTTGAAATAAACAGTGTAATGGCTGGAATAGTTATTTTCCGATCAGAATTCAAGATGTCACATATTCAAAGAAATTCAGTTATTTTGTTTTCTGTGCAGCAGTGTCAAACTGTCCTTGTAGTTTGTTGATGGATATTTTTTTGTGCTAATAGTTTACTTTTTATGCCTGAGGTGGCCAGTCTTACCCCGAAAGGGCCGCTGTGTTTGTGGGTTTTCGCTGCAACTCCCTAATTAGAATACTAATTAGAGGAATGATTGGCTGAATAGTCCTCACACCTGGGTTTGAACAGCTGACCTAAAGCTTATCCCAACAACCCGCAAACACACCGGCCCTTTGCGGATAAGACTGGCCACCGCCGTTTTATACCTTTTCTACTGAGATTCTGTACGTTAAGATAGCAGGTTTATCCATCTCTGTTAGACTAACAGGCCAACACATTTTGCTTAGATACCTGTGAAGAAACATCAGTTTCATGTTTTGATCCTCATTCTCCATTTTTATTTGGGGTTTAGCGTGTTCATATTCACCACAAAGTGGGGTAATGAGAGAGCTTTGCTGGGGGGCCGAGCACAGAGCAGCATTCTTTGTATTGACTGTTCAAAGTCTTCCACATCTGACATAGCTTCAGATAAACATCATGCCGCATTTTACAAATGTACTATATCTGTAGTACTGTTATCTATAATATTAACAACTGTCAATATTGTAAAAATTTGCAAATGGTGGGGAGGTTGTGACATGTTGACTCATATATTCCCAGAATTATCTCCAAATAT